CCGTGGGGACAGCGGGCGCGGCGCGAGGCGGCACTCACTGCTGGCGCAGGCGCAGGGTGCGCGAGGTGCCCTCCACGGGGACCACGTAGGCCAGGCTGCGCTGCGGCGGGGAGCGCGGCCTCCCGCTAACGGCCACCGCTAACGGCTGCGCGCGCGCGCCGCCATCTTGTGCCGCCGCCGCCCGCGGGGGCGCCCTTCCCTGAGCGCCCAACGGGCGCCGTTGCGGCTGCCCTCGGCACCCCCCACCCGCTCCACCCCGTTACCTTCACCGCTTAATGTTTTTCAGAATTAAATTTAAAATGCTGGCGGCGGTTTTTTTTTTTCCCCGAGAATGTCACAACTTAAAAATATAAAATATAAAATATAAAATATAAAATATAAAATGAAATAAAATTTGAATCCGGATTGGTCTTTCTGCTTGGTGGCGCGGGTCTTGTGCTCCCAGCACTCCCCTTCCTCTCCTGCTGAAGCAAAGGGAAAGTTACTGTAAGACGGGGCTCCTCTTAGTCTGCACAGCACCCGCAAGGCTTTCCAATATTTCTTATGTTTTATTGCTCTTCGTACTAGAAAAAATACAAAAAGAGTGAGCAGCTCTGCAGTTCTTACTTGGGTATGGAGCGAAGCAAGAGGCAGGGTCCCATGTTCACGGTCATTCATGGAGTGTGCAACTAGTGGTCAGAATAGGCATTTTAGAGCAAAATTCTCACTAGCCACAAAACATTTCAGGTAGATGAAAAACTGCGCTTTGCCTAGAGGCTCTGAGCAACGTGCCCACGCGTGTATTGACAAGTGCAGTGAATCAGTGTGTGCCGTCCCGCTGGACGCCGCTGCGTGCCCTAAGCAGCACAGCGAGCAGGCACGGAGCCGTTCGCGCTGCTGATATCCCAGAAACGCGGGAACGCCGGTGCCGCCACGGCTGGTGAGCCACGAGCTGCCCCCTCTTAATGTGAGTGTAATCAACAGACGCGGGACTGCGGGCTGGTGAGTGCTAGGTGTGAACGCCCTGCTGAAGCAGCACTGTACAGGTAGGGCTTTTTTCCTTGGAGTGATATCACAGATTCACACAGAATCACAGAATGGTTGAGGTTGGAAGGGACCTCTAGAGATCATGTAGCCCATATGTAAAGCTGATGTTTTTCATTCAATTGCCTTTTTTTTTTTTTTTCCCATTCATGCAGATGACCTTGGTGATGTGTATTTCCAGGCAGGCCCACGGGCTGCTCTTGAGAACACTCCCTGGAAAATACAGTTGAAATCCAGTAGTGCCCTACCTGCCTCTCTGACAGAAATAAAGAGCCTGTAAGTATTGTGGCTAAAATAATCTTACATGTCAAGTGACATTTGCTATAACCATTTCATTTTACTTTGTGATAGTGTCACATGAAGTCATTTTTAAATCTCACAAATACTTATATATTTGGTGTTGGCAATTTTTGCTTTAATAATTACTACTTCAGAAGTTAGGGCTGTGGAGTCATCTGTTTTAGAAAATACGTTACTCCTACAGTGTATAATTCCTGCAGTTTTAATCAAGCATAGCTGGAGTCTGTAAAGGAAAACTGGATTTTCTTCAAGAATTTGTTTTTTACTGTATTTCAGCAGCCATGAAGTAGCAGTATCAGGTTCATGACATTTCGCTTTCATTATTTAGGTTCACCATGAAGAGACTTTTCAGCACTTCACGTTCAACAGTAGATTCAAAAGAAATGAAAAAATTCCATCTCCTCGCAGACAAATGGTGGGACGAAGAAGGAGAATATTCAGCCCTTCATTCTATGAATGATATTAGAGTGCCATTTATTAGGTATGATTTTGAAGATGCAAACATTTTTCAGATGCTATTTCTTTGCAACCTGAGAAAATATTGTAAAAGATTTACAATTAACAGTACTTGAGATAACTGCACATGACGTCTGTTAAACCACCGTGTGTGTTTGTGGTTAATCACATCCCTTTCCTTTTAGAGATACCCTGTTGAGCATGAGGAATCATCATGAACTGGGAAACCCACTTGCTGGACTCAAGATTCTAGATGTTGGCTGCGGAGGTGGATTGCTAAGTGAAGTAAGAAACAATTTGGTCCCATTTCTTCTTTAAAGAAGTCTTCTTTTTCAAGAAGGATTTTGACTTTTTTTTTAATGATTTTTAATTTCTAACCTCTGGAGAGGAGCTTTTCTTTTCTACAGTAAATTAGTTCTGAAGTGCTTTAGATTGCAGTGAATTCTACATACCATGTAGATTATTTCTTTATGACAGTGGTGGGGCTTCACAGAAAAGAAGGGAATCTGTAGTGAGAAATGCTAAGATCTTAAGAGTCATCAGAAAAGTAAGATTTTAAGCAAGCTAGAGAAAAAGACGAGAGAAAGATGTAAATGTCTTCTAACATTCTTCTTGGGCAGCCACAGTGAAAATCCTTCCGTTTTGTCTTGGAGCAAGAACACTTCACCACGACAATCCGTGCTAACAAAATAGTATTTTCCATTATAAACTTTTTGTTTGTTTTTCTGCTTATGACTTTGTATTGCTTATAATCATTTTTTTATCTTTTTTTTTCATTTTTCCATTCTGTGGTGAGGTTCTTGCCTTTGTTTTATCATCAAGAGAGCAGGGCATGATGTGAAGCAGCTGCAACACCCCTCCTGTCTGGCAGCAGAGTCTCCTGATGCTCTGTGGCTGCTCCCTGGGGAGTCCTCACAAATTTGGGATCGAGAAGGAACGAGATCCAGTCCCCTGGGCAGTGCTATTTCCTAGCAATAGGCTGGAGATTGTTTGCCAAGTTAGGGTCACAGATTTGGCTGAATTTCTCTGGAAATTTCATCAGCACCTGAAACAAGAGGTGTTACAAAAGCCACTCAAGTCTCTCTCTGCTTTTTGTTGTTGATTTCAAGCAAAATTCTCTGGTCTTGTGAGACTTGGCTCTCAGACATGGCAAAATCGTAACGCTGCATAAGCTTCTCAAACTGAATAACTGGTGAATTCCAGGCTGGAATAACATACAGGTGGTCATGTTCTGCGGGCTGTTTGAGTTTCAAAAGAGGTGATGACTGAGGTGTTAACCTATAAGTAAGAAGACACTAGAGAAACTTGAGTGACAGCCAGCTCTGATGCTATCCTAGTGACCACCAGTGTTTAGTTCTCAGCAGTGAGAATGTCCCAGAGATAATCATATCTTAAGTAACCATTAAAAAGATATGAGGCTTTGCCATTACAGGTGGATGTTGAAGAAAGTAAAAACAGTATTTAAATACTGCATTGATTTTCCCAAACCAATGGAAGCGGAACCAGGGGAAGAAATCTTTATTTGGGGGTAACAAAATTGATTTGGACCAATTTGTTCGTAAAAAAAAAAATAGATACATTTTAGTAGGTATTTCCTTTACGTCTAAGATTATTCTTTTTTCTCCTCCAGAATTTTAATGCCGTTTTTTGTGTGCTTTATAGGTAATGAATCTTCAAATAAAGCTAGAGGAGCAAAGCTTAATTTATTTGAGGCAATCGTTTATTGTTGTTCGTCTTACTCCACTATTAACGTTTGCTGAGGGTGTTTTCAGGTTTGTTTATGCAGAGGCGGACGCTGCAGGTGCCTTTAGGTAAATTGGTTTTACGCAGTGAATAAATTACCCTCTGTATGATCAGCCCCTCGGTAGGCTGGGAGCTTCGGTTACCGGAATTGATCCTCTGGAGGACAACATTAGGACAGCAGATTGGCACAAGTCATTCGATCCCGTCCTGGCCAAGAGAGTGCAGTACAAGAGCAGCTCACTGGAGGAGGTGGTGGAGGAGGCGGTGGAAACCTTCGATGTAATCGTAGCCTCTGAAGTAGTGGAGCATGTGGCTGACCTTGAAATGTTTATCAAGTGCTGCTATCAGGTGCTGAAGGTAAGGGAGCTTTTGCTGTCGTTATCGGGAATATTTATTCTCTTTTATTATTAAAGCTTTTATTTGAAGTGTATGAAAACACCTAAGTCTGGATTCATTCCTCCACCTTTAAATGCTTAAAATATGAAAGCCATCTAGAGATGCTTTTTATTCTCCCTGAGGATGCAAGAAGTGGATCTGCCCAACTTCAGCGACTAAAGTTAAAGGGAATTTGTTCCCCCGACCCTGCCTTAGTGGCATTGCTTAATATTGCAGTGTGGCTTTGCACCAAGACCTCTAGAAATGTAGTTACCTCTGACCTCTCCGGGGTGAGACCATCCTTGGTTTCTATCAGACTTTATTCTAAATAATTACAGTTAATTCATGGTTTTGTTTGGGGGGATTTTGTTTTTTGTCCTTGAAATCATTACAACAAGCCTTGTATTCAGCAGCACCTTAAGTTAAGCAGTGTTGTTCATTTTCTTTTTGTTTTAATTAAAATAGAAATACATATTTACATGAGGTCTCGCATAAACCTTGTAGCTTTCATTCTTTTGCGGGGGCAGTAGTATGTGCTGTATGTGACCTGGTTAAGTGTTTCTGAACAAGGAGATGGTTTTCAGGTAATCCAAGGCTGTGACTGTGGTGCCTGAAGACTACTGAGCCACACTGCTACAACATCGTATTCTCACATATTTGTATTCTATTTAAGCAGAATGCTTGTACGTGTGTGACCTGACATTAAATCAGTTCTTACTCTTGAAGCATGTAGGTTTGTACATAGACAAATCATGTAGCTTAGTGCAATTAGGCTTAGAGTTTTTGGTTTTTTTCAGTTAAATATTCTTCTAATTGAACATTTTAATCTTTTCATTAGCCTGAAGGTTCTTTATTCATTACTACAATCAATAAAACACAGTTGTCCTATGTCCTGGGAATTTGGCTTGCGGAAAAAGTAATAGGCATTGTGCCTGAAGGAACACATGAGTGGGAGAAGTTTATTCCCCCTGAAGAGCTGCAGCACCTCCTGGAATCGAGTAAGTGCCAGGCTGGGCAGTGGGAATGCACACAGATAGCAGCTGTTCTCCATCTACACCTACACAGGCAACTGCTCAGTTTGGCATCTTCGTGTTGGGTGGAGGGGCTTTCTTCTTTGCACAGCTGCTTCTTTTTCTCTATTTGTGTTATTAAAAAGTTTTCTAAGAACGTGAAGGTGAAGCTCACCACAGGTTTCTTAGCTCTGGAGAAATTGCTGGGAACTCATTTTGAGTTCAAATTTGTCATTTTTGAAATCATTGAACTGATTTGCCCTCGGTTTGATTGCTTTTAAAATAAAGCACTGCCGGATGACCTCCTTCTGTACAAATAGTATTTTTAGAAAAAGTCTACTTTGCCTTAGTCTCCTGTAGAGAGGCTGACGTAAGATTTGAGTTACTCTCTTGGTAGGTTCTTCTCATAGCGCTTTGCAGTGATGCCATGAGGAACTCGGGTAATCCTTGCTCTCCTGCTGGCTGCTCTTTCCAGCATCTCTGCAGCGGGCGCAGGGAAGCAGCTGGTGCCGGCAGCGGCTGCTCTCCCCCTTCCCCTGGGCATTGTGTCGGGGCGCAGCGAGGAGCCCGGACACGGCTCTGCAGGCAGTGCTGAAGCACCGCTCGCTGGCTCCGAGCATCTGGCTCCCGTCCTCTTGCCCTTGCCCACCTTTGGGGGCATCTCCAGGGCCCTCCCAAGGACGGATCGGGATTGATTTTGAAATGAGTGATGTCGATCTGAAGAAACTGTCCTCCTGCAAGAGCTCTCAGCAGTCTCAGACACGTGGGGTCCTGCAGCCTGTGCCTCGGGCCCGGGCCCTGCGGCTCACACTGCTGCTGCTGCCAGGAGCTGGGGCCAGCGCCGATGCCTCGTGCCCAGCTTGCGTGGCACCAACCAGAACTGCCTTAAAACAAGTGCTGTTCCAGCGCCCAGGGACGTGGCGGCACCTCTAAGGCGATGCTGCAGTGACTTGGGAGTATTGCTGAGCATCGGTCGCTTTACACCTGCTTGTTTTCCTAGGTGGCTTCTCCGTGAAGGCAGTGAACGGGATGCTGTACAATCCCCTCACAGGGGCGTGGAGCTGGAGGGAAAGCAGGAGCCTCAACTACGCCGTGCACGCCGTGAAATGCGGGAGTCCGGGCGAGTGGGACTACACAGAGCCCTCGGCAGAGCCGCAGCACCAGGAGCCCCCTGCCACCACCAGCACCAGCCTGTGACAGAGCCACGTGGTGGCCAGCAGGGCAGGAGGACGGTTTCGCACGGCGGGACAGCACCGCCCCTGCTGCAGCGACGAGAGCTGCCCGCGTGGGTAATGCGGGGGCTGCTTCATAACGTGGGGGCTGTTTCACAGCGCTGGGGGCCGGGTTTGGCCAGCTGCCTTAGGGCAATCTCAAAAAAATCAAGTGCCCATTACCTCAGGAACCATTGCAGACTGAGATGAGTAAACCTTTGGAAGACTAAGTATTTTTATAAGAAAGTAGTTACAAATTGTCAGAGAAGGGAATGTAAATTATTCTGTCAGTAGCTTGGGGGAGACTCTTCTGTGGTAGCTTTCTCTAGAGAACTCGGATCTCCACAGAATAATAGCTTAAAGGTAGAATGAGTTTCAAAAATACAGCACTACATGGTAACATGCCTTCAGTAGTCAAGTTTCTAACCAAGGCACTTAAAAATATAAATCACCTCAAACCTCCCACAGAAAGAATGTGCTACTGAAATTACTAAGCAACTGTATCTTTGTGCTAGAAAAATGAGATGTTTGCAGTCTGTCCTAGACAGGAGGAGTTCCGTGTCTAGGCAGTCTTACAGTCCTGGCCCCACGCATGGAAAGGAGGAGTGCTGGGCTGCCTTGGAAAGGGATTTCCTAAATAAAATGCCGTGTGTGTGTCCGTGGTGGTACCGCTTTTTCCTTCCTGCTCTCTGCATCTCAGCTTGTTCACAGGTAGAGAGATAGGCTGCTTGATTTGGAAATATTAGTAATTCAGCCATTCAACCGAAAAGGATCATCAAGGTTATCTGTCTTGGCCTTTTCAATAACTGTAACTTCTGCTTCGTAAAATCCGTTTGGGGTATGGCTTGACTTTAGGGAGAAGGTTCATCTTCATGTAGAGTTCCATGATGGAGAGGCTCCTTCTCTGGAGATCTTTAAAACCCACTTGGATGCTGCCCTGTGCCCCGTGCTCCAGGTAACCCTGCGTGTGCAGCGCGTTGGAAGGGCGTTGGACTAGATGACCTCTGGAGATCCCTGCAAACCTTAAGCATTCTGTGATTCTATGGGGGCCCAAGGAAGTTGCCGGCCAAAACCCGCGGCCCATCAGGCCTATCAGTCGCTCACTTCAATCTCAAGCATTGATAGTTTAGCTGCATAAGGCTCTTGTGAGCCAGCAACTCCAGCTGCATCAAAGGCTTTTTGGCTTTGTGCTAGGTACCAGAGAAATAGAAAAAAAATCTCTCCCAAGCAGCTTGCAATTTAATGAAAAAAAATACAAGTATGCAACAAGCAGATGGGAAGAAAGAAAGGATGAGACCACCATGATAAAAAGCTGCTTACATACACATCCAAATTTGCAACTTCTAAAGCAAACAAAAAGCAGCTTCCTCTGCCTATTTTATCCTCCTTAATTTGATTTTACCTGACTGGGCTCAGCTACCAGCCCCAGGCACAGCTCAGGTTTCCTCACATCCCCCTCCCCCCTGCTGAGTCTTGTGCCCGTCTCGCTCAGCCCTTGGACCCAGTAAAGGCGTTTGGTTGGTTTTTGGGTGGTGGGAGCTGAGCCGTCCCCCCGCCAAGGACCAGAGCCGAGCACCAGGTCAGCAGTAGGGAGAGGGCAAGGGCAGGGTGCCCTCCTTGAGTGGCACCTACATGTTGGCTCAGCCTGTCCCTTGAAATGGCACCGCAAGAAATACTGGACACATTAAGTGTCCTCAGTCCCAGTTTGAACAGGATGGGAGCCTCAGAGATGTGCATTTAATTTTCTTTTGAGGTACCAACAGGGCTTGCTGGTGCCATGCTGCGCTGCCGCGCTGCCTCCCTGCCTGCCACCCCCTTGCAGGCAAGGGCCCTTTCGTGGCCATTTCTGCAGAACTTGGGAATTTCCTTAGATATGCTCTCACAAACAGCCTGTGTCAGTTCTCTGGGGAATGGAAAAGAGAGGAAGTAGTAGGGATAGAGATGTGTAATTGGAGGGTTCAGAAATCAAAAGGCTCCACTTCTGTAATAAACCCACCCCTTCTTTATTCATTATTGTATCTGCAATGGGAAAGCACTGGAAAGCTGGGAGTTACAGAAAGAAGGATATTTATATTCCTGCAGATAAATCTGACTCTTACGGCCTGGGAATATGAAGCCAAGGTGCTCAGGGCACAGCCGAGCGCGTCTGCCCTGGCGGCAGCTGCCAGTGCAGGGAGAGGCCGGTGCCACGTGCAGGTGTCGCAGGAAACCTTCCCTGGGATACAGGAACTTCCTCACCCCCGAGCTGCCCACAGGCGGGGAGAGCTTGGGGCGCAGGCAGGTGAAATGCTTCAGGCAGCACGGCCTGGGCAAAGACACCTTCCCTTTTAACCTGTGCAAATGGAAACCCCCCGAAACCCTGACGGGACACAAGGAAACCTGCTGCATAGTTTCTCTTCCTTCAAGTGCTCGGCCGGCCAGCCTGGCAGACAGGAAAACCTTTTGTCTTGGCCCCCAGGTCTTTGCTGCGTCCTGACCGCAGAGCTTTCCTTGGCCTCCATCCAATGGAAAGCTGAACACTGCTTTTATAACTCTTAAAATCACTTAACTCTGCTTAAAGTAACAAACACTATGAATCTGAATAAAAATAACACACTTTCAGATGATGTTTTTGTGATAAAATCAACCTGCCTTCCCTGCGCTTATCCAAATGATTGGATAAAATTCCAGTCACTGAATGTTCATGCCAGCAGTGGACTTTCCTTACCCTGTCTCCTTGAAGGGACACGTAATGTTGTTGTGTTTTATTCCAGGCAGAGAGGATAGGATTTCACGGAGCCGGTAAAACCCTGTGGCCGCCCTGACTTACGCACGTCCGCTCTGCACAGCCCACGCTCCCGTGACAGCAGTGCACCAGAAGCCCGGGATATATAATGGTGTGGTCGACCTCTCACGGAGCTTTTCCTGCCCTGTGGAGTCATCGCAGTGACCAACAGAATCAATAGTCACTTCTTCTAAAAAAGGTGGCATTTTCTGCTTGCAAGATGCTTGGAGATGATTCATGTTCCATTAGTAAATTTGAGGCCTCTGTTGTTTCCTCATGAGTTATGCTAACAAACAATTGAAACAACTGAGAAATAATGCTATTTTGCTTTAAAATATAAAAAATTATTAAAAAAATGGCAGACAGGAGGTCTGAAGTGTCTTATTCTTCTTAATTAGAAAAAAAAATGCATACCATGTAGAAATAAAAATGAAAACAGCCCAGCAATGCAATCAAGGGGAGACATCATAAGAACGTATGCAGATGGCATAACAAATGTAATGCGGCTGACTTTGAATTCATTGTTTTGATTATCAGCACTATTGAATGAACCAACAATTTCCATGAGTGCACAGATCTACTGCAGATCCCCCTGCAAAACACAAGCACTGAATTTGGGGATTGTTTCCCCACCTTGTTGTCCCCCGGCTCCCTGTCTGGGGTTGGAGAGGTCCCGCAGCTCAGGGATCAGGGAGCTCCTTCCCTCCCTTGATCACCTGCAAGTTTTGCTCTCTAACAGCAGCGGCACCTCGATATATAAAGTGCCTCTAGGAAGCCGCCCTTTGCTGAACTAAGTTGCATACAAAATGTAATGGAAAATACACATGTGGCCCCTTGGAAGGCAGTCATACTTGAAAGGTAAACAAGAATCTACAGGTGACTAATAGTGATGCAGCTATAGTACCTAAAAAGCTACTGTCGTGTAGAATATTGCCCTAAAGTGATAAACTACAGGATCAAAGGACTGTAGGCCTGGCAAGTGAGTATCTTGCTCTGCACAACCAGCTTTGCGCTAATACTTTATGAATAGGACCGGCTTAGCAGGGGGGCTCACGGCGGGGTGTTTCCACCTGCAGAAAGGAGGTTTTAGACGTGGCCATTTTGGTGCAAAGGCAGAGAAGAGCATGGAGTTATTCTCATCAGCTGGGACAGTCGCTCGGAAAAGTAGCGTTGCTTCTCGGAAAGCACAAGGCAAACTCCTTGTATGTGACATGCACTTACATATAGGAACTTACGTAGAGCAGACAAAAAATATTTTTGATTCTAGATGTTTAGCCTATTTGTATTAATCTATGTATTTTCATATTGAAAGTTACAATTAATCCCTTCTTAAAATCCAAACTGAAACACAGCATGAAGGTTTTACAGCTATATTTTTGGCTATTTTTGTTTTAATAATTAAAACGATGCATATATGAAACTCAAGCTGCCCAGAGAGATCATTAATATTACAACAAAATAAATCCTGGCAGCAGTAAAGGATCATCTCAAAAGGAACTCAGGGAGCCTGCCAGCTACAGAAAGGCCCTCTTCTCCCTCTCAAGCTCAGCCCATCCCACCAAACCCCATGAAGCTGTGTCTTCTGCAGAGCAGAGCTTGGGAAAGTTGGGCTATTTCTGAGCCAAGTATCTCCGGAGCACTGGAGTGAACCGAGAGCCCCGAGCGGCACCTGCCAAACCTGCGGGCTGCTCTGCAGCAGCCGCGGCGCCCGCTCGGAACAGAAAAGCTTTCCGGGAAACATCATGGAATCACAGCAGGGTTGAGGTTGGAAGGGACCTCTAGAGATCATCTAGTCCAAGCCTATCCTATAAAGTACCATATAAACATCCTATGAAGTCCTGCCAAGGGACACGGGCTCCAGCGCTGCCCCGGGAATGAACGGTGTGCGCAGGAGGGTCTGGGAGACAGGCACGGGGCTGCCGCGCGTTTGAACACGAGGGGCCTCGGGCAGCCTCGGGACGGACCGCAGACAAGCGGCACGGAGATGGTGATTCGCTCCGTGCGGTGGGTCTGCTGGTCCCTGCTCGAGACTGCTCTGCTCTCAGCTGGCCTGCGTTTGCACCAGCCACGAGCGTGAGCGCCTCCCTGTTAGTTCTTATGTTATTTACTCAAAAAAAAAAAAAAAAAA